TACTGGCAAAATGAATGCTGAAACAGCTCAGAGTGGAGACTGTACGAACAGAGACGAAAGAACCGCTCACGGAGGGCCGAGATTCAGTGCAGCCCACGTGTGGGCTCACCTGTGATGCCCCCAGTTGCATTATTATGACCACGTTGTGACTTGCTAACTGTGGCCTTTAGCAGACATGGGGACTTCACTCGTTGCCTTTGGTGGGGTGCATTCCTTCTGTATGTTGGAGATCGCTCTGTGGAGAAGGCTGTCCAGAAGGGCAGCAGTTGAGAGCTCACAAGTAGACAGAAAAAAAGTGAAGTGCTCATGCGCATTTGTTAGGGGAGTCCATTTTTAATTATTTTCTTTTTCAACCCTGATTCTGCAACTCAGAGTCATGTCTCTTTGAGTTAAATGGATGATGCTGGATGTGAGCAAATGCTGAATTCATCTATTTAGTGTGTTTATAAAGTCACTTCTGACTGAAGAATGGTCTAATTCAACTTGAAATGCTTTGATGAAAAATGTTATGACTGAATGCTTTTTTTCATTGGCCTTGGTTGTCATTTAGTGTCTACACCCATACAGTGAGTGTCATCAAGACTGCAGTATCTCATGAATAGTGTGTCCCACAATACTCTGAGAAGCATGTTTGCTGTAGGACTAAGATGATGTAATTTTTGAACTGTAAAATAGAGCTCCCACAGAGTCAGCTTTCGGCATGGTATGTACGAGTTCTTCCTCGGCTCCTAAGTTTGCTTATACAAATCTCCATCTGGTTCTCCTATAATTCATTTCATCATGAGGTTAGCACTATCTCTGCATCTCAAAGGGCCTTTAGTGAATCTTTCATCACCCTCAACCAAAGCAGCATCACAGATATTGTTGACTCATCTATAGAACTTGGAGAAAGTTGTTCTACCTTCCATCAAATCTTTTCTTCTGTGAGAAGATCCTAAAGACTGACACGGGGAGTTGTTTGTTTTCCTTCTGGGGACTGCTAGAGAGTTTCAGTAATTAGCTTGGAAAACTCTAAGGTGTTTAGAGCTAGTTTGGTATAGTCATTAAGATTTCAATTCTACCATTTGTTTTATCCATCAGGATAAACTTGGATTTTGAGTGTGACAATAAGCAATCAAGTAGGACTTTGGATGGGAAAATACAGTATCTGTTTTAAATTGACACAGATAGGCAATATTTGGAAAAGCTAATAGTGATTTATTTGTGCTTAATCGTACTAAGCTGTAATTAGGGTAAAATTTCCATTAGTCTCTAGGCGCAAAATGACTCTGTCATGGAGCATTACTGGGTCTGTCTCTGAGCTTGAATTCCAGTAATTTTCAGTGGAGACATTTTAGTATGTGACAACTAAAACACTAAAACACTCCATCTTTGTCATGTGTGTGCTTTATCGTCTGTGTGCTGCTGACGTTTCAGATAGGTCCCTTATGGGACTCTTACACTTACAAACAACTCCTAGATAAAAATATCTGTTCAAACTGAATACAGGAAGCAAATATTAGGTGTACATGTTTTACTAATTTCTATATCCTATCAATACCTCATGCAATGTAATCTTTACCCAGAAAAGTAGAGTCACTAAGGCTAATAACAATTTCAGACTACTTGATTATATATATTCTTTGGTGTGATAGATGAATGGCAAAGAAAGCATAACCTCTTTCTAATCAATTCCAATTACAAAACAAGGCTGATTAATAAATCAAATTTGTCAAAATGCGCTACATATAAATGCTACATTAAAAAGTATGTGCATATGTGTTAAAAAACAAATCCCCTCATTCTCATGTGAAAGGATCTTTCCTTTTCCTTCATTGCATACATGCACCATCCTGTACTTCACTGGTTCAGCTTCCATGTCTCTAGCTTCTCGTTGTGGATCTCGGCACTTTCCATTTCCTTAGCTGGCAGCCACAAGCTGTGGCTAACATGGTCGTTAATGATCTGGAGGATGGGGTGGAGAGTGTCCTCAGCAAGCCTGCACGTGACACAAAATGGGGAGGAGCGGCTCTTACACCGTCATCATCGTGCTGTCATCCGGAGGGACCTTGGCAGTCTGGAGAAACGCTCTGGCAGCGATCTCATCCACTTCAACAAGGAGAAGTGCAAAGTCCTGCGCCTGGGGAGAAACAACCCCATGCGTGGGGTCCCCCCTGCTGGGAGGCAGCTTTGCAGAAAAGGACCCGGGGGTCCTGGTGAACCCCAAGCTGAACATGAGCCAGCCAAGTGCCCTTGCTGCAAAGGTAGCGAATGGTGTCCTGGGCTGCGTTAGGAGGAGCGTCACAGCAGGTCAAGGCGGTGATCCTTCCCCTCTGCGTGGCACTGGTAAGGCTACACCTGGAGAGCTGGGTCCAGTTTGGGGCTCCCCAGTACAAGAGAGACAGGGACATGTTGGAGAGAGTCAAACATTAGGAAACACTTTTTTTTCGTTGTTATGGCGAGGGTGACTGAGCCCTGGCACAGGTTGCTCAGGAAGGCTGTGGGTCTCCCTCCTTGGAGATATTAAAAAGCCATCTGGACATGGTCCTAGGCAACCAGCTGTAGGTGGCCCTACTTGAGCAGGGGGTTGGACCAGATGACTTCCAGAGGTCCTTGCCAACCTCAACCATGCTGTGATTCTGCAAAGCTGGAGTAGGAGCTGCTGTCTAGAGAACAGCAGCTTGTTTGATTTCTGGGTCTCCTTCCTTCCCTTTCCTCTCCTGCTCCCCTCCACCCTGGTAAAATATAATTTTTCTGACCAGCTGGACATTCTGGTAAGAAAATTATATTATTTCCACATGTTATGTGATTATTGATGTGATTTTAGTATCAACCAAGGAGAATTTCTTATGGTTACAAGAATTTTGAAACAACTTGACAGGAACCTAAATCTTTACCTAGTAAAAGAAAGGGCCAAATTCTGTTTCCTAAGCCCATTGTAATGTATCATTCTTCCTTCTCATCCTCTTTTTGTTATAACTGAATGGCTTACTGATTCCTGAGCCAGGATATCCAATTAAAAGATGTACTTACATACATTTAAAAGAATTCAAGCTTGTATCATATATTACAGTTGATGTATTTTATAAAAGATAAGGAACAATGACATCCTGTCATCATTTGGGCTCTTTCTTAGATTAATCTCTGTCATCTATATATATCTCGTAAGACGAACAAACATTTCTGTGGACATCTGACCTATGTTTTGAGCTCAGGGCTTTGGATTAGTTATTGGAAGGAAAAAAAGTTCATAGGGCTCGAGCCCCTTTAGAGTGTCATCTGTATCATCTTTGCCTGCCTGGAAGATTTCTGTAGCCCTCAGCTGTGCTTAGACATAAATCAGTAAAAAATTTTCCTCTCAATTAGACCTGCACAGAGCATTAGAAAAATCGGGATTGGGATTAGAAATTCATGGTTAGAAAATAGCTGATAGTGAAAGCTGAAGGGCATTGGTAGGGACGCTGGTGCAGTCATCTAGCAGGCAGGTGGAGTGAACAAGGAAGACATGGTTTTAGCCCTGGGAGTGCACATGGCTCCTGCGGTGACTGGCAATGGCAGTGGGATGAAGGGAAAATACTAAAATCAAGAAAGGCCCACAGAAGAAAGAAGAGTGTACGGGAGCGGGGGAGAGGAACATTGTAGATCTGGAAGAGAGGAGGTAAAAAGCAAGAGCTGGAGTCCGATAGATGAAGAGTCTTCAATGTTGGGGACAGCATCTGGGTCTGCTCACTCCTTGCTCTCATGTGACCTACCACATCTCCTCTGGTAGTTTGACCAAGAAGGGGTTTCCTCCTGTGCCATCTTGGATAACTCAAGATTAAGGCAGAGAGCTTCAAGAACAAGAAAAAAGATGTCTTCTAGAGACCTGTTTGCTGCTGCCTTGAGCTGCATCCATGCCTTCACAGCTGTTTCTGAGCTTTTAAGGGTTGATACAGTATTCAATAATTTTATTTTTTTTCCTATGATCACTGGTTGCATGCGGCATGTGGAGATTGCCACCAAAATTAATGCTTGGGGTAGGTGCTGGGAGTTGCCCTTAGTAAGAATGGGCAAAGAGAGATTGCTTGCTTGTAATGGTTTTCTTCAAGACGTGCATGTAGGATACACATTCATTTTTTTTCTGATCTTTCCTTTTTTCCTCAAAGTCCTGGATATGTGTTCCTGCTTTTGGGCTCTATGTGCACTGTGTCCTTGGCAGCAGGAGAAGAAGGGCTGAGGACTCTATTCCTATGGATAGGGCTGGCGAAAAAAATCTGATTTTGAAGTCATGAAGCACAGATACTTTCAGGGTTCGAATATATATGTATATTATACACCTTGGAGATACTGGTTACTGGTAGAATGACTAAAAGCCCTTGAGGTGGATGTACTGATGCTCAGCTGGGGATGATTAAAAAATTGCCGTATTGTTTTGAGTCTGTCTTTTCAGGCAGAATAGTCTATATAAATTCTCATCCTGATTTTTGCTGAATGTGTGAAAAGGAAGTTAACCTGGAAACCTGCATTTTCAGCATGGTATTTTGGCTGTGCTGGAAGTTGGTGCTGTGCTGTCCTTGTGGGCAAACGCCAGCTTTGGTCCCTCAGTGGATTAACCAGCCCCATTTTAGCATGACCGTTTGCATGCCATTGGTATAGGTTTTGTGGTGCCAGTTTGTCACTTAAATGGTGACACAGTTAGATAACACTGCAGTCTGTGGTTAATATAACCCTTCAAAAAAAACCTCCAAATCCCAGACAAACAAGAAAACCCCAAACCAACAAGAACCCAGAATTCTTCTTAAAACATAGGTCAGTTTTGCTAAAAATACCTGTTCAATGTCAATCTCTCTGGTTGTCTGCTCCCTGAAAAATCATCCTGTTTATGGTAGGATTAACCCCATAAAAAAATGATTGTCCATTTACTTTTAACAGGAGCAAAGCCAAGCTGGCAGCTTCAAAGCTCTCTACTTTGGTTGCTATGCATATGGGGCAGTTTGAAATACACACTTGAGAAGCTAATGAAAGACAGAAGCCTTATTGTATTCCCAGTTTGGCTTAGCACTTTGGGTTTAACATTAGACATTGGCAGATGGTCCGAAAAATTCGGCATTTGCACAAAGCACAGTAGTTACAACATGAATTCAAGTGTGGTTTGCAGGTTTTGAAGTTTGGCACACAGTCAGCAGCTGGTGTGGGCCTTGGTTTTGGACGAGTCTTCGATTTAGCATTTTTCTAGAAGAAAAAACATGAAAATTCATATAAACGTAAGAAGTGTATCGGTCAGAATAAAGCATAGGTGCAAAGAAAGTGAACTGTGGGAGCTTCTGGCTTGAGATGACTAAGTGGTTGCTAGCAGTGAGACCTATGTTAGTAGCAATATGTGGTGGGACTGAACCATGGGAAATGCTGGCTTGAGACCAACGTACCGAGCAAAATGGTAAACCTCACGAGCCTCATGTTTTGAGCAATTAGAAACATGACTGGATAGAGTGTTGGAAAATGCTCTGTAGGGAAGAATGTGGCAGCAGCAAAGAAAGGAATGCAAGGATCTGCAAAAACAACGGTGTTATCTGTAAAACAAAGTAAGGAATTACTCTTGGATTCCCAAACTTTTCAAATGAAAGAGTGAAACTTCCCTGTCAATCTGTGGGGCTGGTACCCACTTTGTTTCCTGAGCTGCGAGGCTGAGAGAGAGGGGAGGTGGCTGGGCAATGCTCTACCTTGCATGGTTGGGTTGTCAAGCTGCCTTTGGAGCTCAGTAATACCTTCTGCACCGGATTTGTGCATGAGACTCCTTAACTGCAGACAGAGCTAAGTGAGCTGAAAAAGATATCTCAGCCCACCCAAGGAGTGCTGCTTCTCTGTCTGTGATTTGGAAAGGTGGAAAACTTTGGGTTGATCAGCGTGTGCCTGGGACTTGGGAAAGATCTCTGGAGACCTCCAGCTACAGGCATCCTATGCACATTTTTAACTTGGTAGTTTCTCAGGAGTTTCAATTTTTAGGTAAAATGTTCTGTGGTCTCTAATTGCCTTAGGAGCTTTTCAGCCAAAATACTTTGACAAAGTTTGATTGCAAGAATGTCCTTCTTTGAGCTGAAGGTGGAACTAAATGACGTCCTGAAGCCCCTTTTGACCTGGATCATCCTGTGAATTTAGCAAGTGTTTCCAGGAAGGTTAAAACCACAAGATAGCAATTAGAAAGGAAAAGAAGGAGCTCTAAATGTTTCTGATGACAGCAATGACTCGTTTGGCTATAAATGGCTATCACAGCATAATAAAAATAAAGTAAAAATGCTATTTTCTACTCTTTTAGACAATCTTTAAAACACAGGAGTCCAGCCCAGCTAATACTTCACGTTTGAGACCCATTAAGGAAATCTATCAATCTGAGTCTACTGATCCGATAAAATTACTAGTTAACATTTTCAACCAAATAGCAACTTCTTTGTATGCCTCTACTTCAGTTTTTTGGCACCAGTAGTTAAAAATCAGCAGATAGTGAGTTTGTGCCCCTGCGCTGTAGAGCCCCTACAGTTAACCCACGTGGTGTGACTGGGGATGATACCTCTTTGTGGTGGATGCCTAAATAATTTTACAAATACTTAAACCAGCTCGAGGTTAAAGTACCTTTTGTGTAAGAGAGGACTGTAAAAAACAAAAACAAAATCAAAAGCAACAAGATGCCCCAACCCCAAACAATAACCTCTAACTAATCTATGATCACATAGTTTTCTTTCCACCATTAATGTTTTGCATCTCTTTTTACAGTATTTAGAACTTCAAACGGTATATAAATTATTTAAATTGAGGAATGACTGTAAAGGCCTTGCAAATAAATGCACTGAGGAAAACTATAGAAGTATTAAACCATTCTAATTCAACAATGTTTTCTCAACAGCCACCTACCTTGGAAGATTTCTTGTTCTCTGCCTCTTTCTTTTCTGACTTTCTGGGATCTTTTAGTTAAATCTTCAAAGAAAATAGCACAACATAACATTAAATCAATTTTACAGCATATGTTATTCAATTTCGATGCTTAACACTATTTTTGTGTGATAGAAGGCAGATAACCTGCATTGCCACCTCATCGCTGCATGTTTTACAGTGAAGACGTTCATCTCTAAGAGCTGTCCTCACTTACACATAGCGTGTCTGAACTCATGCCGTCACTGTTGCTCATGCGAAACAGAAGAGCACTGATGTTTGTATTTTAGGAGGGCGTTTTTACACATTGTTTGCTCAGATGTGAACAAGGAAAATAATTTCAGAGAAATAAAATTCAGGGTCTCTGTGTAAAAGATGGGAGTACTTATGTACATTAGTCACATGAGCAAAAATAGGAAAAACCTTTAGAATTCCATATTTTTTTCTGTTAAAAGGTGGTGTTACCTGCATCATTTTGGCAGGAATTAACAAGTGTACGCTGATTTTCACAAGCAAAGCACTCTTTGCTGATTTAGCATAAACTCTTCACCTGTATGATGCCACCTTTCACTCTTCAGTTCTTTGTTCCTTTTTCACCTACCATCTTGTTTTACGAAACATTACTTGCAAAGGTGTTTCATTAATGTGTCTGTAGCTTTGAAAGGATTGTGAATATTTCTAGGGTTGAATTTTGACTCTGGTAAATTTAGGGGGGGAGTGTGTTCAGACTAGGCCCGATGTACCTTTTTTTTTTTTTTTCCTTTAGGTCAAATCATTAGTATTTGTGAACTTTCTCATATTATCCCTTGAGGGATAATAGCATTTACTGCAGTTGTTGTTACTATTACCATATCAGCTCTAATGCTATTTATTACTATATATAAACTCAATGACTAAGACTTGTCTTGGGATCTAACATGGCAAGACTGTTAAAGTGTGAGACACTTCCCAGCTCACTGATCTGTTATGGTATTTTTGATACCATTATTCTGTGTGTGTAAGGTTTGTAATAAGCACTACCTGTATGTAAGGACTGATTGGGATGAAAGTTACATACGCCTACCAATGAACGGTAGCTCCTTGTCTATTCCAGTATTTGCTATCCATATCTTTTTGAATATTTAATAATTGTCAGGATTTACAGGATTATCGAATGAAGAATACACTTTTGGGGCTGGTTTTGGGGGGTTTCATTTATTAACCTTGCATCATTGTAGTTAGGGTTATGCATATGTAAGAAACAGTGAGAGGAAAAACTGTACTTCAAGCATGTAAATTTATTGTCACTTAATAAGAGCACATCTTAACAAAGGCATTGCACTAACTAGAATTAGTGATTTAGATCCAGCTCCCCCTGGCAGATTGTGTTGGTTTTGTTATGCTGGCCTTTGAAACTTTCTGACGGTAGCCAAGATGCTTGTAAGCCATTTAATTCTACATTAATTTAACTTTCTATAGTACAGTTGTACAGGATTGTCTAGATTGCTTCATCTATAAAATTGTATTGATAACATTCAGTTAAAGGGTATATGACATCATTAAGCAGAGATTTAAACATTGGCGTGATGAAGTGCGCTTTAGTTATTCCAGGGAATTCAGTAAAGAAAATGATGCCCAGTAAATATGACCACGTGAGGCTTCATCCTGCGCGCTGAGCGTTGCAGGGGTTGTGCTGGGGCCGCAGGCAGAGGGAGAATTGGCAGGGCTGGAGGAGCCATCTCTGCGCCCGCCCTTCCCGCTGCTGCCTGGTGCCTTTTTCCGGCTGCTTTCCCCTTTTTGCGTTAGTTTCTCCCATTTTGACCTGTTTCCATCCTCTGCAGGACTGTCTCCAAGGCAGCCCCTCTCCCTCTAGGATCTCTCCCTGCTCGTTTCAGCTCCCAGCACCGTGAAAGGCATGGCTCCGTTTCTTCATTCAGCTGCTGCGTAATGCACAGAGCCCGGCAAAAATGAGGGGAAAAAGATGGGCCTCCAGTTACGTCTCATAACATGCTGGAGTGAGGCAGGTGATGTTATTCCCAGCTCACTTCACTGAAAACAATGAGATGTGCTGTCGTCCTCCTGCTCTCAGCGGGAGGTGTCAGCAGGGCCTTTGGTCTGGTACCTGAACTCCAAAACAATGTTGGTGCCCGTCCTTTCTCCTCCGCCTTCTTTCTCCACCCATTTGAAAGGCATGGCTATGGACCTCCAAATGCCTTTCATACACCATGCATTAATGCATGCTTTTGATTAATTTATATTTAATTTACCAAGTTATAATTCAATTATTTTAGTTAATAAGTGATAGAGGTAATGTGGCTACTGTGTGTCTGAAATAAAACCCAGAAGGGTTTCAGCATGTGCCATTTCAGCTCCAGAATAAACTACTTCAAAACTTAAGTCAGACTCCTTCCTCTGAATGAGAAAAATAGGAATGATTTTTCTCAATTTTATTGTTCACTTCGCATTTTAAAAATTTTCTTTAGGTTTAGGGTAGTGGAGGATTAGACTAGCCTCTCGCCTTTGAACAAGTGGGCTGCAGAAAGGCCTTGGGATACCTCTGGAAACACCTCGTACCCCAAGAAAGTGAGTGCAGTGCTGGCCGACTGTGTTACAGTGGGTTTTGCATCTGTATTTTCCTTTTTGGAACAGTCAGCCGAGACAAGCGGACTATGGAAGAGGTAAATGTTATGCCAAGATCTGATCTTTTGAATTATTCTTGCATTTTCAGTGTCAAATGTTCATTCTGTTTGTAAGCATGTAGGAGAAGGAGGAGTGTAAAGGTGAGCTGGAGCTTATGCTGTTTGCTTACATTCAGCCCCTTAGTCTGCTGGGGATTTCCTTTCTTACCTTGGCTAATTGCTTCATCTCTCTGTTGACTATAAAATGGGAAAGCAGTGCAGCCAGGCTTCACTGCAGGGTGATGAAGATACATGGATGCTCTGCTCTTGCGGGAGGAGGTGTGTCTTGCAGACAACTCAGCGGGGCAGAGAGGGAGGAAGGGTTTTTGTGAAGCATTGCAGAACCATCCAAACCAAAAGGACCTGACAGCCTTAGGGGATTTTTGCTATCTTGGATGTCCGTTGGCAAAGCAATATGGCATGACATAGCCTATCATCTGCCATGTTTAAAGCACGGGCACATTTTTTGTGAGAAGACAGAGAAATCAGCTGAAGGGAATGTATTTTGTATGTCTGATTTTAATTGAAATAAAAAAATTATTGGAAGTGTGAGACTGAAGGCATCTAGGATCACAAGGACCATGAAATGATACTGCTTGGGAGGCTGCAGAACAGCACAAACTTTCATAAACTTGCAGTTAAACAAGCTTGAGTTATCTCAGGATTCAGAGGTTTAGATTTCATTGGAAATGCAGGTGTAGGGCAACTGTTTCACCTTAAAGAAATGTCCTGAACAAGAGTGCAGAGAAAATACAGGAAACAAGTTAAGAAACCAACTTGCTTTAAGCAAGAGTCCTAAAAGCCTGTAGAAAGGAGCTAAACAAAAGAAGCGCGCTTTTTTTATTATTATAAAAATTTTGACACAGTTATGAATGCCATTTTGCAGCTAATTATCCCCAAATACCTGTAAATTTCTTGAAAGAAAAAAGTTGACTTAAATTACATTGAAAGAGTTAGGGCAGACTCTAGGAAAAAAATTTGTGAAGAAAAGAGTTAGGGATTGCCCTAACAAGGTTCTTTTCTAACAGGACAGATCGTCACCTGCCAGTAATGGTAGGGACATAGCTGGTCCTGTCTGGAATAAATAGATGACCTTTGGCTCTCCGTTGCAGTGCTCTTTTCTTCTCCTCATTAAAGATCGCTTGGCATACAGGTAAACTGAGGTGGCATTAATACGTTAGAGAACTGTTGATATCTCTGCCACAAGAGCAGATCATAAAAAAAAAGTTGTGATCACTTTTTCTATTTGCACTACTTTCAAAGGAATATTAATGCCCATATCAATGGAAAAACACTTCTCTTCAATATAAAAAGACTTACAGTATAATAGGACTTGAAGTGAAAACTGTAAAACTAAAATAAGAAGTTGTCTAATTGATTTTTTTTTTTTAATTACTTTAAACTGTAGTTTGCCACGTTGCTGTTCTTGGATGCTGTGGCTGCATTACCACTGCAGTTCTGCGTACCACTAAGGCATTTGTATGAAATTGCAATGTTGCAGTAAGCTATCAAAATAATCCATTTTAATCAACAATTGTATTTTCTGAAAATCTTGGTAATGTGGCACCGAACAGCAGATTTTTACTAACCTACTATAGAGATGGGCGGGAGATCCGAGAGATCCATTTTGTTGCTCCTTGACAGGTTGCATTCTGTCTTCTCTTCAATTACCATATGAGAATCGGCAGCTCTGAGCACACTGTAGCAGAGCAATAGGCTTAGGAAGAGGTTCTTAACTTCCATCCTGGGGAGGAAAAATTCCATTGTCATGAAAACCAAAGTCAGTCAGAACCTGCATGTAGTAAAGACACAAGGATATGGATCCCAGCAATGGTTTTCTGCCATGTTGTGCAGCTTTAGCAACATACCTTTGGCAATTCTTTTGTTTCCAGCACTTTGCCTCTGATACCGGAATACCTAAGATGGCAGTTGTCTGAGTGGAAATGCTATCTCAAATATAATACTCTTAGACAGTCTTTTTTTCTTTTTTCCTGATCTTTGCTCAAAAGGTTTATTTTCCCAAAAGCTCTGAGTGAGTTCTCCCCACTGAATTTTACAGTGTTGTTTATTGTATGACCAAGGGGAGAACAACTTCTCCTGTCACTTTTGACCAGCTCAATCACATCATCAGATTTTTCCCAGAAACTCTTGTTTACAAATTTGTGCTAGAAAACCTAGAAAAATAAGGATAATTTAAAAACCCACAAATTATCTTTTGTATTAGTTTTCTCCATTTAAAAATAAGTCATGAAGAAATATCTTGTTTTATTATACCCTGATGTGGCTGTTCTGATTGCATAGTGAATCATAGCCATAACTCATGCAAGTTATAAAAGGCCCTCTGCTGTAAAGCATTTATGGGCCTTAGGGTTTAGTATGTACTTAATAACTTAAAAGATGTAACAAAGTCTATGGGATTTAAGCATAGTTATGGAGAAACTTGAGCTTTTCAGAATGTGGCCATACACCTTGGAAGAAAGCCACTGGCCCTGGCCAACCTCTGCATGACACGGTGCAGCTATACAGAGTACAGAGAGCGTATCACCATCCCGGTCTCCTTTTCTTGTAGATTCTTAACACTGTCGAAGTTTGAAGTTGATTTTTATTTCCATGTGCATTAGGTTTATGCTGTGTCAGAGTTATGGGAGCCTTCCCTCAGAGGCATTGCCAGCCTTCAGATTTATGGCTAGCTTTTTGTCAGTGAAAAGTTACTAGTAGCAGTAAAAAGACGGAGTGAAACCAAATGTTTTGAGCAATTAATCTGGTTGTAATGACTTAATTACGAGACAGTTAAAAGATGAAGAGTTTCTGCATTGGAGGAGCTTCAGTCTAATCACTGCTGCTAAAATGAGTCTGAATTATACTCGCTTTTATAGCCTCCACTGATCCACCCTTCCTTGTGAGACATCGGCTATTATGCCTCTAAGTCCAAGTGCTTGGGCTCGTTTCTAAAACCGTCTGTTCTACAGGCCATGCTTACGTAACACATCAGTGCTGGGTACACTGACGCTGCTTTCATTGCTGGATATAGCTGTGTCATGAGGGTATGCCCCAGATCTATTAGGACTCTATTAGGATTTGCAGGAGCACATGTGCTGGATCCTTTGTGATTTAGACATCTGCTGCAACTGAAATAGATGTATCTGAGCTTGGAGTTTTACAGTAGGGGGGATTAACCTATGGGGAATTGAGTGCTGCTATGTCTGTATTTCAAATGATATGCAGCTGGTGTAGTTCAAAGCTGACATGAAAGTTGAGACCCAACCTGGATCATAGTCGTGACTGTGGATAGATGTATCCTTTGAATGAGGTGATTAAAATTCTGTAATAGGAGATGGGAAGAGTCTTTAATTTGACACAAATTACCTACGAGAGGAGAAAGTACATCTTCTGTAGAAGAAAAGAATAATTGCAATAAACAAAAGGAATAAGTCTTGCCATGAAAATTTGTTGTGATGGTAAAATTGTGGGCTTGAATTTTCAGCTATTGCAATTTAGTAAAGAATCAAGATGGCATGTCTGTTTTCATTTTTTACACGCTTTGATCTTGCAAACTCTTACACAGAAGTTCAGACTTTGCCTGCGGTAATTGCCTATGAATAATGGGAAGTATGTGAAAATATTTGCTAGGTCAGGAACCTAGCCTGAAATTTTCTTTTCTATGGACAAGAGATAGCCTTTTATTGTTTTTCCCGTCTCTTTTCACAGAAGATGCCCAAACCTCACTGAGGTTTCTTGATGCTTTATAAAGACTGTTCTAACACATAGTTATATTCGTAGATAACCATTTAGGTCATAACCATAACCATTCATGTCATAAGCATAACCATTCAGGTCAAAATTAGAACTTCTTTTTATGTAACTAATTTTACCAACCTGAGTATCCCTGCTGATGTTCATATTTAGATATATGCTTAAAATTCAAAAGGGGGTTTGTGTTCCCCAAAGTTTGTCTATGTTTTCCAAATATGCACTTGGTCAAATAAAATATATTACTTAAAGAATCTTAGCTTGCTTAACATTAAAGTATGCTGATTTTCACAGGACCTAGGCGTACAGGGAAGGAAGAAATTTTTATGATGAGGGTGGTGAAACACTGGAACATGGAAACAACTCTGGTTGCCCAGAGAGGTGGTAGATGCCCCATCCCTGGAAATGTTCAAGGTGAGGTTGGACAGGGCTCTGAGCAGCCTGATCTAGTTGAAGATGTCCCTGCTCATTGCAGGGGTGGGTGGACTAGATGACCCTTAAAGGTCCCTTCCAACCCAAAGCATTCTATGATACAGGGCATATCTGTGACAGGTAGATGTAGACATCTGGGCTCTACTTCTTTCCATGCTCTGAGCTGGAGTGAAGAAAGCAAGCTGTGAGCTGGAAGCTGTTTAGATTTGCACATAGTCATGTTAATGCTGTAGATTTTGCTTTTTTTTAAGCAACTTTTTAGCCTAGTTGCAGGATATGCTCTATAACAGACCTATGATTTTCAGATCAGTGTGTGCTGCCCATTTGGAGTACTGGCATAGCTGGCACATAACTATCTGCTGGAGACTATGTCGAGATGCCCCTAATTTACTGTTTACATAAACTTCTTCTGTCCCAAAATGTTGTTTCCATTGTACTTCCTTGTCTTTACCTCAGCAAAACTGCCAATGAATGCAATTGCACTTGCGCAAGTGTAATAAAATAGTAAAATTTTACAGCTTCCATCTGTTCACTTCAAACAGAGTGACATCTGAACATGCTTTAGTGTTAAAACGCAAACCTAGCTGCATGTGTTGATTTGAATTCTTGTGCATATGGGGTTTTTGCCAATAGCACTTAGGTGGTAGGAATCTAAAGCCTTCGAGTGACTGTTTGAACCTGGAAAATGCATATATTGGTGAATATGCATTTGATCTTAAAACTACACCACCTGGCTAGAAAGGTAACACTCCTTCGAGCAGCATAGTCTGCTAGATGTGTGCAGCAGAGTTCATGAAAAGGTGAAAGAGGGGGAAAGTGGAATCAGAAACGAAGATGAGGAAAAAACATGCTTGTTTCATCTTTTGCATCGTATCACAAAACTTGCCAAGTTAGCGCTTTTTTTTTTTTTTTTTTGGCATTAAAGAGAGGCTTACTTTCCAATTTTGCTCATTATTTTCCTGCTTTTCCTTCTGGGACTCATCAGAGGCTGTTTAAGGCAATCAAACTATTTTCCTTAGCTCCAACAATCTTCACATCTGCTTTTCTATGAATACTTAGTTTTAAAAGAGTTTATTTTCCTATTGAGCTCCTAACAATGGAGAAGTAAATTGGTTTAGTAGCAGTATCTTTCAAGACCTACCATTTATTGCTTTAATGAGGCTAAAATATACTAGGAGAACTTTAACATATGATTTTTTAATTGTTGTTTATGAGGACTTAGTTTTGCACAATGCAAATACAAACAAATAGCTGCTACTCATCCTCAAACCACAAAATAATTTAAAATAAAATCAACGTAAGCAAATCTCTCCCCACAGAATAAACCTAGAGGCCTTATTTGGATTCTAACCTGAATCTCAATGCATTTCATAGAATCATAAAATCATAGAATCATTATGGTTGGAAGAGACCTCAAGGATCATCAAGTCCAACCGTATACCCAACGCCACCATGCCCACTAAACCATGTCTCGAAGCGCCACATCTGAACGTTTTTTGAACACCTCCAGGGACGGTGACTCCACCACCTCCCTGGGGAGCCCATTCCAATGCCTAACGACTCTAACAGTGAAGAAGTTCTTCCTAATGTCCAGCCTGAACCTCCCCTGGCACAACTTGAGACCATTTCCTCTTGTCCTATCAATTGAATTGTTTCATTCAGTGTTGGGAAAATGGGCTGAAAATCTTAGGTCCCCTTTTGTCATGGACTTCTAATATACCTCTGAGGTTCTGGGAGAAGGATCACAGGGCCAAATTTTCAGAGCATTTTTGACACTTTCAGAGTCAGAGGTCAGTTCTGGTTTACAGCTATCTAGAGAGTAATGACAACCTCAGACTTGACGGTCCTTCAGCAGTGAGGGTTGCCATTGCTGACTTTGGGAACAATGATGCTAAGGCAGAACGTTTTATGGATGAAGATTTGAATTGGGGCTGATGTTAAAGATTTATCAATAGAAGCACACTTTTTCCTCATAAAAAATAATAAGTAAACTAGAATTTCCCAGATAGAGTCTCCAAGGGATATAGTGACCTTCTATACTGTACCTTCAGGAAATTCATGTGAAATTTCCAAAAAGCAATGAACATGAAGGAGAGAACACAGCAAGTAAATATAGCATATGTGTAGTAAAACTGAGAATTAAGGAGAAGAACATGAAATCTTCAAAAGCAGTAAGAAGATTAATAGCAGAAGGTTACAACAGCAAAATAGACATTACCCCATAGAAAATTGTCTCATATTGTAGCAGAACCATTAAGAGCAAATATACAGATGTTTGGGTTCAGTCTTCGGAAACAAAGGAGAGAGAGGAGCAAACTAAAGCTTTAGACTTCAGGAAAACAGATTTCCATAAGTTTAGAAATGATAGGTAGAACTCCACAAGAAACAAAGCCAAAGTTAAAAACCCCCAGTGTTCAGAAAACTAGTTTGTGGTTAGAAAGCTAGAAAGAAACTGAATCAAATGATTAAGAGCAAATACGTGATGATCTGTTAGGAAAAAAAAAGCTTAGAACAATTGACACAAGTTTGACCTTCTTGTTAGCTATGAAAGAAGGGGATTGCAAAGTTTTTCATTTTGATTTTTTTCAATTTAAAATTTTTGATGTTGTAAC